CCCAATTTTTTTGGGGGGGGGGGAGGGCGTGTTTTTGTGAGCGATGAGGAACTGAAGTAACGACTTCAAGCGAGCCTCACACAGCCGGCCGGTTTTTGGGTCTACGGTCAACGGGGTTCCGGAGCAAATAGATACAATTCACCAGATTGATAGTCAGTAGCCCGTCCTCTGCCTTATTAAAAGGCTCATAAGTTAAGACATGAACATCCTCGAATTTGGACATCAACCTAACAGGTAGAAGGAACAGGAAGCACCTGTCTATCGGGTTTAACAGGTTGGCGGGTGCCCTATCCAGGCAATAGTCCGTTCTCAGCCTGACAGCTAATGAGAGAATGAGGGCACGTTGTCACATAAGGACAGAAGTCAAAAACAGTATCGTGAACCAGTCCGACTTCCAACAATGGGAACCCGTTTTTGAGTGAATCCAAAATTCGTCGCACACTACCTGACCTCTCAATTGTCTTTGAGTATACCTTATGTACCCTAGATCCGAAGATAAACTTGTTTCCGATGCTAACAATTCATACCGTGAGGTTGCGCATGAAAACATAATTTCCAGAGGAACAACTCACCGTTCAAATTCCGTCAGCCGCGACGAATCGCGAAACCCCTTGGCAAACGGATTGCAATCAATCTTCAGCTTGGTTATCTGTGAAAAGCGGAGAAGAATGTGTTATTTGGTCAGTGTTCCTGTAACACAGGTAGCAGAAAGTGACGTCACGAGCAGCTAGTTCCCTTTCGGCTGCTTCTTGTTAGATTGATGAGATGTTTTGCTTTTCAGGGTGCACGATCTTTGAAAAAACTGGTACAGTTCGATGACCTTGAGAACGAATGCGGGATATAAAGCGGTTGGACAGATCATTACTTTTAGAATGCATACGAGCAACCGGAATAAGTTCATAGTGTATCTGGCTCGATGATAGTATAACAGTACCATATATGTCCATTTAGACCTCGTGGATGCTAAGATTGCTCCACAAACTAGACTTTCTGCTCCTAGACGGTGTACTTGACTATCTGCTCCACTTGCCCTAAAATTTCACAAAGCCACCTCAATTTATCTTCCACTCATCGAAAAGCTTGTATCATACATCCTAACCGAATCAACCCTATTGATCCCATCACAAGATCTAACTATCTAAAGCCGTTGGCAATGTTGAAGAAACGAAACCTGATGGCGACTTACCAGCTGGTTCTGGTACGCAGTCACGGCAATGAATACCGTCTCGGGAAATTCAAAAGTCTCCACATCTTCTGGGTCGAAACTATCCAGTGACTTGATTGAGAGCTTTCCAAAATCATCCATCGAATTGCTCCGAATCAGATGCACTCGGGGTTGGTATTTGTGCATTGAGTTCAGTATGATCTGTGTAAAAATAGGGTGAGCCCCAAGTTATACGCATTCTATACTATAGTGCGTGAAGATTAACAAAGAGTATATGAAAGCACGTTTATCGGACTAATCAAAGGTCAAATCATTCATGCCACATTTTAAGTGAGGTACGGAACATGAAATAAGAGAGCAGACAGAAACCAAAGGAGACCCCAGTAGCGATAGATTGTTTCCTAAGGAAAGCGAGAAGCGTCTTGCTGGCCATCGGCTTGCTGGCTCAGCTGGACAATTTGATTGCGAACAAGCCAACAACTTCAGCTACCAACACTTCCATCTCGAGAAGACTTGTTGCTGTGTACATCATTTCGATCTGTACCGTTAACGTAAGTACACTGCTTGTGGTCTGTACGAGTGCTCTGCACATCTGGTGTTCATCACCGAGCTGCTTCCAAACGACATATCTCCAGTCGTCCTTTTGTTTGCGTTCTCACACCTTCTACTGATCAGGAGGCTGTAAAGAACTATTTTAGCGTAGTAGGGTCATATCTCCGACGGACCTCTTGTCTTTTCTATGGGCTTCAACAGAGTCTCCCCAACACGTCTCCCCTCTTCACGAGCTTTTGTTTAATACCCGCCGTCGGGCGGCCCATGTGATTTTACGTATTATCGTGACTATTGATGGCTGAACACGATATCAGTATCTCTTTGGTCCCGAATTTTCCTACAACCTGGCTTAGCTTGTCTCATAATCCTTGCCTCTGAGACACGTTGCCCCAACATTGTTCAGCAAAGTTGGAACTAAACGTCACGTTTGGTAAACTATCCTATTAAACACGAATAACAAACAACAAAGTGGTGTTGTGAAAACTCGCAGTTGCTTCGAACTTCATTCAACAGAAAGAGTGAAACTAAGCGAAATCATTCGTAAGTTCAATGCGCGGGTCATATGTAGGCCAACAAAACGAATGTCCTGATAAATCGACCACACCTAGAGATGATGATTGAAAATGTGACCAGAATTTGAGATTAACCGATGCTGGAAGAATGCCACTAGATTGCTGAAAGTGTTCCACAAGTGCTTCAGGAAGTACTTCAGAAGTAAGCACAGTTTTCTGACAGAGCAACGGAGGAATTTTTTGCAAGGGAATTCAGTACCGTTATTCTTTAAAATGAAGCTTCTTAAAAGGATGCACGCGTGTCTTGAAGAGGACTTTGGTGAAGTCTTTGCCTCATGGAAACAAATACTCTCCAGAAATGAATAAATATAGTGACAAGTAGAAAGAATGATCGATATGCAAGATAGAAATACCCTATGTTTTTTATGTATACTGATAGTACAACTGTCATGCGAAACGATTGCTTTTGCATACTGTTGTTGCATCATACAAACTCGTCCTTCGATAAGGTGGAATCGAGTTGGGCAAAAACGTGATCAAGGATAAGTACACATCACTATTTGCTGTGACTCTCCGCAGTTGGTCTGCAAGCTGAGAGCCATCAAGCCGGGATTTAGGATGAAGCTGGTTACTGCACCCACACTGGGACTAGCCAACGGTCTATTCATCTGGACCCTCGAAAACTCGGTGAGTGTTACTGAGGTGTGTATTCAACAATTGTCGGACGAGCTCACCAAATTTCACAAGTATGCCTCAGTAAATAGTTGAGCGTGTATCTGAATATCCAAGCCGAACAAACTAGCGTCTAACTAAGAAACAAGGTGGAGCTTGCGGGATGTTGACACCTAATCACTATTTCGTCGAGTGCGCAATCAAAGGAGTCAATATCCAGCGTTCAGGCAAGTATCGCGGAAAGCGGCCGAGATTCGATTCAAACCGTTGGAACTATCAGACACGAGCTATTTTTGTTTTTTGATGTGCAGTGAATTAATCCAATCGCCGGTTTTGGTAGTTTCCTGTCCTACGGTTGAACTCAAGCAAGTCAATTAAGATTTTTCTGAATGGAAGTTATAAGAAGCTCGTAAGGTCCACACGCCATCAAAATGATACATATAGAGAAATTTGGGCACTTGTAAAATTATCTTTGTATTAGTTCTTGACTGCCAGATCTTCGCTGAGATTCACAGGCTGCATACATGAAACGCTTTGAGCTATCTGTGAAAGGAAGAAGGCCTTCGCCGCGGAGTTATTTATTAGAGAATGCCAACTGACCAGTTACAGACTATTGGACAGGGAAGCAAAACTCTCACTTGCATCTTATTTACAAAAACTGAATATCCATCTTCTCCTGAACGCGTCTTCTTGAACTTTCCTGAAGATTCGTTGACTCCAATCATTCCTCGATCAAATCCAAGCAAACGCTACAAAGCGACTCCACAAATTCCGCAAAAGATCTCCCTTTTGAAGAGGCGCAAAGCGAATTTACAAGAACAAAACATACTACTCGCATACCTCCCCACCAGTAGTACCACCATTACATCCGTATCCAGCCGACAAATGGACTCTGCCGTTCTGCCAATGAACCGAGGGTGGGTCACCAGGATTTCATTGCCACTTATGAACCGAACGATGACCTTTATTACATCACCACTAATTATCTTGCGCTGTTCATTGCACCGTGACTTGAAGTGTGTTATATTCACCTGCATTGTTTGATGGTGTATCTAGTTCACACAGCATGGGGACAATACTCAGGTGGATAATCTTGTCTCCCTACGGTGAGACCGTAGTGTGTCTTGAAGTAAATAGGACTTCTAGATGGAAAATTGACTCATATGCATTGGAGTACATGTACCATTATGTTATACAACCTTAAAAACTTTTAAAAAATAATAAAACTAATGGTTTATTGTATCAGTGGCTCTACCAGGCAACAGAATGTTGTTGGATAGAGCGAAGAAGTTACCGATTCGTTACTTGAACTGCCCTGCTCGGAATAGAGCGTGCGCTGGCTATCTGATGACAACACGCTAGCCCTTACGTGAAATGTTTGCACTCGCACCTGCATTCATATATTGATGCATTCGTGGACAGTGATACTGGCGTCAAATATATGGGGGTGTCTCGTTACCATTCGCAGGCAACCGCCATGGAGGTCTCCAACTGGCAATTACCCACGTTAACCGAAATTGTGTACAATAATGTGACATTTAAGAGGTGGGGATAGCTTGATAAGTAAGGCCTGAACTGACTAACGAATATAAGCCCGACACCTCGACCACTCTTGTATCCTAGCGATACCTCATACGTGCTTCCTACGGATAGCATGGCAGGTAGGCACCAGAGGAATTATGCGCCCCGAATACCGCAACTTAGCTCAAGTTGAACCCATTGAATCATGTCGAAATACAACCAAAACGTGCTGTTTTGTTGCTGATACACTGCGGATAGTTGTTAAAAGGGGTCAGTTGGAAAGCGACAAGCCACGTGTAACTTACGTAACCATGTCGATCTAAAGCATTGTTCGTCAGTTTCAGTTTTTCAAATGATACAGTCTGTTTCGCCAGTTGATCCCCAGTGAATGGGGAATCAGGATGAACGTACTGACGCAGATGCATCTCTGGATCCGCTTTACCGGCAACCAGCCAACTCGATCGATGGTAGGCATAACGGTACCGCTTTGTATCCACTGGGATAATGTCCATGGCAACCAGGTACCTTGAATCCGGATCGACACCGGTAAACGAGACGCGGATGACAGGAAACATGCGCCTTTGGGTAGAAAGGGTCCAAAGGGAAAGTTACTTTTCTCGCAATTTTACCACTGAACTAATGGAATATCGGAACAGTGGCAATCTAGTCAGGGAAATGGCGAATGGTCGAAAGCTAAAGAGCCCAATACGGACACCTGGTCAAAGAGTTCATGTCGGTCGCTCGCTTGACCAACGAGAGCGATGTAACTGTTTTTTTTTAATTTTTGTCCGAGATCCTGCATCATAACCTGAATTTCTAGCGAATTCGTTCCGCTTGTTTACTCAACTTGAGAAGATACGGACGAAAACCGAAAGGAAACTGAGTGACCTGTTCACATGACCGTTCAGCACATTGGCCAGGTGATTGTGACATCGCTTGTTTGGATCTACCAAACCAACGAATCTGGTTGGTTGCAGTAGTTACTTTTTCTGATCAAATTATGCTGATTAGAATAAGGTACCACGAAAGCACGTGTTTAAAGTACACCCGAATGAGATAGGATGGCATAAACTACCGAGTGCCGCCTCATCTCTAAAGAACGATGAAATCGCACATGAAGCGAGTTACTCACAAGCCCACAAGAAAAATATTTGTCTTACACTCCTCAAGAACAGAACCTATGTCTGTAAAAAAACGCCTGGTTACATGGCAAATAGGTAGCAAGTGTGGTTCTGGTCTTTTTGGTACGGATTTTAACCATATGCCTCAAAATGTGCTTCGTTGCCCAAAGTAAGAAGACAAGAGAAAGCGGATTGCTTCAGCGTTCGTCAAAATGTCATCTTTTGAGGGATAGTTTCTATGCGGAACGACTGGTACACTAATAAAGTGATTGCGCAGAGCTGCTGCCTAGTCCGCAAAAATTGAGTGTCTCCGAAGAAATCCGCTTCCAATGAAGAGAATATCATCGAGAGTAGTCTTGGAGGTTGAAATGCATAAATTATTGGAAATAAGAAAGTAGCTTTTCAGTGGAAAGGCTTTTGTCCTTCTAGAACTAATTATGTGTGCAAACTAACAAACCTTTGGAAGTCGTTAAGAACGGTGTCACCTCGTCATTTTATGCAACTCCTTTCACCTACCTTCCTGACTTTGTGATGATCATTTCTGTACCGAGCTCATTGAATTTTTCCCACAACTCCCTTGTCTCCAAATGACATTCGACTGAACTCCATGACCTTTGTTTCAGCCGTCTGTTCAACACCATCTGGTTCGGTTGTTTTTTACTCTTCTGTCTATCGATTGGCTGGTTCACTTGATCGGTGCAACGTAATAGGCTTGACTTTGTCCGGTCCCAGTTATGGGTGTTGTCCGACGCATTGTTCCGGCTTTTAGCCTTCGGTGACAATTGTTCACTAGAATGAGATTATCGGACAAATGACGGCGACACATGAGATAACTCAAAATGGCTGTCAAACGACTGAACAGGCGGTGTATTCATAGTGTGTTGTGACGTACAGGCAATTTCACTGTCATCTTTTACTTCGTTCTCAAACTTAAATACCTGGAGTTGATCTAAACCAAGTAGTTAGTGAACTGATAGCTGAACAGTCACTTTAACACTAAACAACTTAGCTGGATTATCCAGTCTAGACAATACTGTTTGGTTGCCTGATGTTTTTTACTCTCATTAATTGCTGGAGCAATCGAGCAAACATTGGTTTTTCAGTGGTCAGCTAACTGGCATTCGAATTAAGAAGGACCTTGTATTAAAGACACTATTAAGAACGCTCGGAACCTATTGAGATCCTAAAACCCCACCAAAAACTCAATAGGAAAGCCAGCAAGAATCCAGGCTAGTCAATTAGTCAATCGATCTTGCAAACGCGGATGAGTGTTCAGGCACGCCACAGAAGCACGACCGAATGTGATCAGCGTTCAGGCATTTCATCGAAGCACGATCGATGTTGATGGGTGTTCAGCAAACGCCTGTCAGACAGCCTGGATCAATGTCAAACAGTCCCCTTTAAATAGTGTGGGGCCTTCGTAACTTTTCCACTCGCACGCACTCGCTTGTTTGGAATAAATCTGTTGTAGGTGAGTTCTTTTCTGACACTAGGCACTAGAGAGGGAACAGCAGTCAGAATTAACAAATACAAACGATACCCTGAGAACTGCTTACCTGGGGATTCCTTCCGAATTGATATACTTGTTTTCTGGCACCAGAGTTGCCGGTTTCGATTGCTTACCCAGGTAGAACGGTAAGCAGGACATGGCGAATGATTGACTTGGTTGAGGTATCGGAGACTCTACATCGAACCGGGACGGATTGCTAAAGTCCTTTGGTAGTTGATTTTCCGGACAAGTTATCTTCTCTTGTATGCTCAGATCTGTTGGATATGATGGTGGTTCATCATTGGTGGCTAAGTGTACGGACAAAGGAACAGAGAGAACATATATTTTTTAAAAATCGAACGGGTGCTTGAATGGTTGCATGCGTAAATACTGAGGTGAGGGGCTAGTGCAACCGGTGGTGGGCTGTCGAACGGTTTTCAACAACTTGTGACAGTGTGGTGGGTTTATACTTACACAACATGTCTTCAGTTACCACAGGAACGCAAAATCTGGGGCGTGCTTACAGAATATAGTGATACTTGGTGAAAATTTTGGCTATGCCACATTACATAAACTTTTTTAGGGTTTTAAATGTAGTCTTTTCGTAGTACTAATGGCCGAACAGGAATATAAAGACTGAGTGGGATACTACAATACATAAACTGCCGAGCATACAATAATTAGCCAAGTTTGAACGATTTAAGAAAGCATTCTTATCCTCTGCGACTTCCAGGAGGGTCGTTGAGTTATCCTGATGCACATATTAAAGGAGAAAATGGGGTATTTCTAGAAAGCTCGTAAATTACAGAAATTTCCTCTTGTAGCAGTAGCTATAAGGTTCTGAAAGATTTTTGACGATCTATTGGTGCTTTCGCCCTTCTTCGAGCTAAATATGTAAGACAAGTATCAATCTTGTGTCTTACTTGAACAAGAAATTACATACAGCCGATGGAATGCACTGGTTTGCTCAACACATTCGTATAATCGAGAGATTGTAAACGAATCTGTCATGTGTTGCACATTTTCTTGATGCGTAAGTCCGCCTCTGTACATCATAATCAGTTGGAAACCATCGTGAGCAGTAGACGTCGTTGGGATATGTACGGCAGCGAAGCGTCGGCGTTCAACATTGATGTCATGATGTCAATGATGATGATGATGATGATGATGATGATGATGATGATGATGATGGAGTATCTTTGGGCCTTTCGTAGGCGCAATTCAGTTGGCAAAGCAGTGCGTTCTGAACAAAATGATGATTATTGCTGAAGCGACAATGAGGCTACAATGACCTCACATTGCTTTTCGAGTATTTCAAATTAGAGTAAATCGACCTCGAAGTGAAAACGTGGGGTTCCCTGGCAACTCTTGTGCACATATAAATAATTTGGAACCCCATGTGTTTATCCGAAACACGGAAATGGACCACTGAGTACAAAGCACTCTGGCGTACCCTGTCCTTCGTTAAATATGCACTGCACGAGAAGCGCATCCTGAGTGCTGATGCTGCTGCCTGACCTGGGTGGAGACGTCAAAATAAACCGATTTCCGATAGGAAAACGTCGGATGTTGGATGACTGCTAAATTAATTTTAATTTTGCATATCAGAATGGAAAACAAATTAACCCATGTGATTTTATGACAGACCGGTACCTTTGCCTGTGGAGATTGTCAAATTGAATCGATAGAAAAGTCCCCTAATAATCCCCGTTACCCGAGGCAATAACTGATGCTTGATACATAGCGAAATCGGGTATCTGAGGCCAACAGAATCCGATCACTCTCACCTTCCGATTCGGTCAACCGTAATGAAGCAAAAGGTTTTGTTTCTCCATTTGCCACATACCCGTTGTCAGCTCATGATTAACCGACTGCTCACTGGCTGCCAGCGGCCGCCTGTCAAACAACAAGGAGGGTGGGATAAGGCCCCAGCTTACATCTGCTGCCCTTTCACCTCACCGCCCACAGCGACTGCTCGAGGGGAGGCGTGACTAGGAGTTAATCAGAACAGAATGTCAAAATGTAGCGAAATATTGATTATATCCACTAATAGTAGCACTCTTCCTATAGGGACGAGGATCCACTCCCCCGACACATACACTGGCAGTTTGTGAAGCGATGTGCTCCTTGGAACTGAGTGTTTTGTCAGCAAATGTGTGATAAATAAGCGACACGCCGCCACAGTCAAAGCACATGCGCGCGCGTCCATATGTACATTGAGTGTACCAGATGCTGTTTGTAACGGGATAAACTCCGAACAGTAGAATGCTTTTGCCCGATACGGTTTATCGTAAGATTGAAAGCCCACCCATCCATTTGACTCAAGGGGGATAAGCTCTTTTCCCAAATGGTTGTCTCAGCTATCACCTGCTTCCCTGACACAAGCTGATTGCAGGCAAGCCTTTTTTGTTTAAGCTGTCAAGTTCGTCCGTTGGGGTCCATTTCGTCGAGTAGAGCGGTGGGTTTGACGTGCAGAAACTGGTAATTGAAGCAGCTGCGATTGTGCGCGCCTATCACCTGCTGGATAACTGAGTTGACACACGTTCACAGTACTAAATCAAACTCGAGACATGAACTCCCTTAAACCACTGAAACGAAGAAGTGAAAAGTCATGATATATTTTCAAGCAACATGCTTGGGATGACGATCAGGCTAGAGTTAACGAATAAGATTCCTCGCAAATGATAAATAACCATTCACCTGTAACACCCTTTCAGTGCTTAGCTGCTATGCCACTCGAAGGGAGTATGAGGGCTGAGATACTACCAGATCGCCCAAGCCTAGACAGAGGAAGTCGAGATGCGGAGGTCGGGTTCAAACCACGGACCTTCCGGTCGGTAAATTTGCACTCTAACCACTGGACCGTTTCGCTCCCATGACTCCTGGTATGTTTACCGGCAACAATGGTAGTTAGTTTGCGAAATGAATGGATTTGAAAAGCCTCAATGTTTTTGCATCTCGCTCTACAAAGAAGGACTGAGAAAAGGTTGTTTCCTGTAGGAGATAGTCTCTTGATACAGAGGTATAACCTTTGAGATTTTCTTCAGTGGATCAGTGGGTAGGGTCCCTTCCGGTGGCCTGTCGCTCCAGGATCAAGCCATTGAGCTACGGAAATCCAGATCTTTACGTTTGAAGGTCTCCGTGAAATTCTTCCAGTCGCCAAAAGAGAATTGAAATCCACTCTGTGGGAAGCCTATGGCCTGATTTCAGTTTGCGATACACTGATAAATTTGCACCTCTTGAAATTCCATGCTAAAGTTATGCCACTATCAGGGCATTTTTGTTCTGCCTGGAGAGAGATAAGGACCCCTGTCAAAGTATCTTAGGAATTAAGAATATGGGATGCTCCAGGACACTTAATATGTGAAATGCACTGTATGTGTCATGGCACCTTGACACACACCAAAATTAATGTGATTCAATGTCTTGCCGATTTGCGATGTTACCCACGAAGATATCCAGGTGGCTTCATTTCGCTGGCAGAACTTGTTAATCGATCGATTGTGAGGTAAACTGGGTGAATATTCGAGGTGGAGATGGGTGGTTAAGACGTCTTACCTTGAAAAAACTTGCGAGACTAGCCAAAATCTTTTATCTTGTGGGAATTGTTCTCCAAGTTGAAGGTGGACTACTTTAAAATGTTAAAACCAACACACTCACCATTGTTTTTGGAGTTCATTACCCTGCACTTCACTACACTGGTTTGATGCTACCACACCGACTCATTCCATAGAACTTTACGGAGTGCAGACGTTCATCGTTGCGACATAACTCGTGACAGTTGGCCACTTTGTACAATCTGAGCAGGTGAATCCATGCGTACGTACACCGTTCCATGCTCCAGAAATGTCTTCACTTCTGCCACGGTCATGCAGCGCTCAAAAAGACATTGCTAGCTGACACTCTTCTTTAATATGCCACGAAGTGCCTAATACCGACTGCCTGAGCAAACACGGCCTATCATAAAGCAATACCACGAAGTCTGAAAATGTTCAGTGGTCATCTCATTTGACATTCAAAGTTGCTACCGTATACTTCTTGGGAAAGAAGCGATTTCATCTACAGTGCATCGTCATCATCACCGTGATCGTCAGTCGGTACTGAGTTCATGCGATTTTGTTATTGTGAGAAGCGAAGATATTTCCTGGAGATAAGCAAGGGTGGCCACCATCGTCTGAGCTCTACCCACGCCATTTTGATAGGGTCTAAATATTTTGTTTGACCGGAAGTTCACGCGAATTTTGCTTTTGTTTCGGGTGTTTTCTTAGCTCGAATATTCACTTTTTAGGAGAAGTTCAAACGTAAAAATGGGTTGAGGAAAATCGTTTCCTCATGTGAAGATTTCTTGTCAGACGGGTCCTCTGTAAAATGGAATCTCTGCATGTTACTTATTTTTGGAATGCTGTGTCACAAAAGGTCAAAATGGGCCATCTCTGCTTATCTATTTTACTAATTAGCGTACTCCTATTTAAGGCAAGCCCCAAGGAGTCAATTCCGACTTTGTGCTCCCATATGAACTTCATGCGATACCTGGTCCTCTTGGCAGACTCGAGATATGAGGGAGATGTGATGAGATAAAACGGACTGTACTGGTTTGCGCAGTTTCCCGCTATCATACTGGTTCTTGAATTTCCAGCGTGAATAATTTTTGTCTGTATTTCGTACACTGCTTTAGGAGGGTATTCACACTGGTGTAACTCACACAAACTGCCGTATTATCATTCTTCATAAATCGCACATGCCTGGAATGTCCTTAGACGGTTAGTTGGTTCCACGGACGGGAGCTGTAGTATGTGTGCTTTCCATATCTCTTAGCATCGTGTGTACTGGGTCAGACCAACGGTATCATCAAGGACTAAACAGACCTATGGTGTAATTCAGGCCAAACTTCTGGTACTGAAAAAGAGCGTCAAGCCAAGTAGTCGGCTGATTTGTGTCACAGTAGGATGGTGGTTGATGGTAAACGGTCAGCGTCTCCGTTATAGGAAACATAACCTAAGATAGATCTGTGAACCTGGGGGAGAGGCAGTGACGAGATCTCTGGGTACTAAGATGACTAGAAATACTGAATTTCCGTGAGCGTCTTCTTCAAAGCCTCAAAGACCAAGTAACTGATGCACTGGTTGTTTAGACTGTTGCGTGACCCACTGGTGCTTCAGGAGGCATCCACCGTTCGATACTGGAATGACGACAATTCTTTCATACCATATGTAATCGGAATTCGCACCCTTTCGTGACAGACAACACGCAAAGCTGGTAAACTGTAATATGGACAATACTCTCATCCAAAGCTTAGCCCGTCTAGCAT